GGCTCTCGGGGCCCAGAAGCAGCGAGAGCCCAGCTCCCCACGGGGGCAGCTCTGGCTTCCTGTGCTTCCTGTCCGGAGGCACCGTGTGCCAGTCAGGTGTGTGGGCCGCCTGGCGGCTCTTTCTTTTAAGTTTTTCACAGTTTCAGCCTGGCCGGGTGGCTGTCTGGCTGGAGCGTTTTCCCATGCACCCGAGGGTTGTGGGTTTGATTCCTGGTCAGAGCACATACCTGGGTTGTGGGTTTCATCCCCAGTTGACATTTCTCTCTCTCCCTGCCCCCCTTCCTCTTTCTCGAAAAATCAGTCAATCAAAACATATCCTCGGGTGAGGATTTAAAAAAAGAAGTTGTTATTGTTTTGGTGTTTTGTTTTAGAAAGAGAGAGAAAGGCAGAGAGAGAAACATCATCAATCGGCTGCCTCGTGCATGCCTCCTACTGGAGACCAAACCGTAACCCAGAAATTGAACTGTGACCTCCTGGTTCATAGGTCGACGCTCAACCACTGAGCGTTGGCCGGGCTGGTCCACCTGTTTGCATGTCGGGGGCTGTTGGTCAGCCTGGCCCTCGGATAGGGCTGCCCGTGGGCGCCGGAGGCTCGGAGGAGGTGCTCTGTGCCTCGGGGGTGGGCCTGCAGGTGCTTCGAGGCCAGGAGGCGGAGGCCAGGGTGCAGTCCTGGGGCGGCCACACCCAGGCCTGCCGCCTGCAGCTGTGCCAGGCCCCGGTCATAGGTTAGCCTGCCGGGTGCACAGCTCGTGAAGGGCTGGGCGGGGATTTCCTTGGAGATGAGAGTGGGTGTGTCTGTCTGCCACCCGGAAGGTGGGGAAGGGCTGGGGACTCAGGACACATGGCAGCCATGCCCCCCCGCCCCCCGGCTGTGTCCTGGTATTCGGTCAGGATCCAGCATGGAGGGGGTCTGGGTTGGCCTTTGAAGGAGGACTTCCTACGCGTGGACAGATCCTCCCGGAGGCCCCCTCCTGCACGCCCCCTACTGGGGCTCAAGCCCATAACCCGGATGTGTGCCCAGACTGGGAACCGAACCATGACCTCCCGGCTCCCCTCCGGGGCCGCCCTGACCCTCCTCTCTTCTCACAGGGGCCCGGGGGCGATGGCTCTGCAGCTCTGGGCCCTGACCCTCCTGGGCCTGCTGGGCACGGGCTCGGGGCTGCGGCCCCGGAAGCTGGACTCCTTCCAAAGCAAGACGGAGCTGAACCACCTGGTGGTGGATGAGGCGTCGGGCGTGGTGTACGTCGGGGCGGTGAACGCGCTCTACCAGCTGAGCGCCGACCTGCAGCTGGAGCAGAAGGTGGACACGGGCCCGGCCCTGGACAACAAGAAGTGCACGCCGCCCATCGAGATCAGCCAGTG